CACACACACACATATACTAAAATATACTGATATGAAATCAATTAATGTAGACATTTAGATATTAATTATAAAATACATATTAAATAACCATTTGGTTCATCAATGGTGCTTGTCTTCTATTTTACACTGACCCTATGAGCTGTTTATGAGCTTCAGTCTTTGAATTTAACAACTGCACATCACTGACTTTCTCCACAGCCTTGTCAGTTCCATTTTTCATCTTTCTATTTTCATCTTCCTTCATCTCACTGAAATTGCCATAGGCTAATGATTGTGAATCAAATTTATCTAAAATTCAAACATAATGAAAATGGGAAATGATGAATTGAAACTAGTCATAGCCATCAATTTAGATCTTAAGCAAATAAATTCTTCAAGTTATGGAACATCAACACTCATGTCAGTGGGAATAAGAGCAAAAATATAATATAATTATGAATTACAATATATTATTGTCCATTTTGTACACCTTGACTATATTGACTGCTTAAATATCCAATGATTAAGCTATTTCTATTATCTAATGTCCTGTTTTATTTACTGAATATTTTAAATAACTGCCATTGGCTTATTTTCAGTCTTTTTTTAAGAAACTAGAATACAAGGTACAAGTCACAAAATAGAAACTGGTTTGTAGGCATCAAAATCAAACTCACACAATCTAGTTTATGTTTTTTCTCCCTCCTGATGAGTAAAAGGGAAGTTCATTTCTGATTAATAATTCAAAAAGTAGCCACAAAGAAAAATCCAATAAAACCTTTTCAGGCTGGTGCTGTGGCTCACTTGGCTAATCCTCTGCCTGCAGTGCTGGCACCCTGTGTTCTAGTCCCAGTTGGGGCTCCGGGTACTAGTCCCGGTTGCTCCTCTCCATTCCAGCTCTCTGCTGTGGCCCAGGAAGGCAGTAGAGGATGCCCCAAGTGCTTGGACCCTGCACCCGCATGGGAGACCAGGAGGAAGCACCCCACTCCTGGCTTCCATCAGTGCAGTGCTGGCTGTGGAGGCCATTGGGAGAGTGAACCAACAACCAACAGAAGGAAGACATTTATGTCTCTCTCTCACTGTTAGTAACTCTACCTGTCAAAAAAAAAAAAAAAAAAAAAGCTTTTCAATTTTCTCTTGGATCTTAGCCAAGGTTAATCCTCAAAGAATCTCCTAAAACCTGTTCACAAATCATGTAATTGCAAGAGAGAAGGGCGGGGGGGGGGCGGGCAGGGAATTGAATGAAACATGGGTATTTAAATTAGGATAAAACTATGAGAATTTAAATTAGAAAATGGTTGTCTGGATTTACCAATTTATCATGTACACTAGACCAGATTGTTTTTCTACAGTTCCAAGTAGATCTGTTATTTTGGGAAATCAGGATAAGTTCATATATTTAAATAATCATGGTTATGATATTCTGTGTTTTTATGAATCAGATTTGTTGAGAGTCAAATATACACCAGGTAATGTAGTAAAATTTTAAATTATATTTTCTTTTTCTTTTACTCTAATTTGCCTCCCACCTGGCAAGATTCAGCCATACCAGGTTCCAGTGTCAATCTTCATGTGTAATCACTATTTCCATAAAAAAAAAAAAAAAAGCATTATTGATGCTTTGATAAGTCAGAGGCTTTGGGCAAGTGTAAAAACATGGCTTAACTTGCTCTTTATCATTGCTTATTTAATATATAAGAATCTCAGGATAAGTCAGATAACGGGGAAGGTATTATTTAAAAGCTTATAAAACAGCTGCCTACTTTCTGTTCAAATGCATCATTCACTAATTCATACCATACTAAAACTAGGTAACTAAGGAAATGTGCCAGTGTATGCCAACGATTGTATTCAATGTTTAAGGAAATTTTTACTTATCCAATGGAATTGCTAAAGAAAATTCTTGCTTTTCTCTCTTTCCAAAGTGACTACTAGACAAATCTAAATTGTAATAATGTGAAATGTTAAAAAATAAGATATACTTTTTATATTTTGAAGAAATAAGTAAAATAGTTTAATGTTTATCTTTGAATTGTTTGTGTCTATCTTCCTCTGGAGAACTTTATTATTTTCTCAAATGCAAAAAAATGAATAACTTTTCTGCTCATTGTACCTGCTTCGAGTTAGAATACCTACCTATTTTGCCAAACCTATTTAAGCCTTAGAAAATTTTCAAAATATCTTTAAAATAACAAGGTTGCGATTATTAATAAAATATTAATAATTAGCTAAGTAAGTCAGTAATTTTTGCATTCTGTAGAGGAAAATATTTTAACATATATTAAATCTCTCAATTCAAAATTAATTTTCTTAAAAATAATCCATGCTGCCAAAAAAAACCAGCTATTTGGTAACTTACTACAAAAATAAAGATGCTATGTTCATAGTTTCTTAAAATAAAATGGTATACTTTAAATTGAACTTACCAAGATTTTTGTCATAATATTACTGTAAATTAGAATCCATTTATTTATTTATTTATTTATTATAGTCTGGAAATTAATTTGGCTTTTTTTCACTCAGCCCAATGCTTTTTTTTTTTTAACTTTTATTTAATGAATATAAATTTCCAAAGTACGGCTTATGGATTACAATGGCTTCCCCCCCATAACGTCCCTCCCACCCGCAACCCTCCCCTTTCCCACTCCCTCTCCCCTTCCATTCACATGAGGATTCATTTTCGATTCTCTTTATATACAGAAGATCAGTTTAGCATACATTAAGTAAAGATTTCAACAGTTTCCTCCCACACAGAAACATAAAGTGAAAAATAACTGATGATTTTTTAAATGATGATGAAATCAGATCAGACCTATTGTCATGTTTAATCGCAGTGAGAGTCAAGTTGGGAATTGATAATTTCTTTTTTTTTTTTTTAACAGAAGATCAGTTTAGTATACATTAATTAAAGATTTCAACAGTTTGCACCCCCATAGAAACACAAAGTGAAATATACTGTTTGAGCACTCGTTATAGCATTAAGCCTCAATGTACAGCCACATTAAGGACAGAGATCCTACATGAGGAGTAAGTGCACAGTGACTCCTGTTGTTGACTTTACAAATTGACACTCCTGTTTATGGCATCAGTAATCTCCCTACACACCAGTCATGAGTTTCCAAGACTATGGAAGCCCCTTGAGTTCTCCGACTCTTAACTTGTTTAGACAAGGTCATAGTCAAAGTGGAGGTTCTCTCCTCCCTTCAGAGAAAGGTACCTCATCTTTGAAGACCTGTTCTTTCCACTGGGATCTCACTCGCAGAGATCTTTCATTTAGGGTGTTTTTTTTTGTTTTTTTTTTTTTTTTGTTTGTTTTTTGTTTTTCCCCAGAGTGTCTTGGCTTTCCATGCCTGAAATACTCTCATGGGCTTTTCAGCCAGATCAGAATGCCTCTAGGGCTGATTCTGAGGCCAGAGTGCTGTTTAGGACATCTGCTATTCTATGAGTCTGCTGAGTATCTTGCTTCCCATGCTGGATCATTCTCCCCTTTATTTATTCTATCGGTTAGTATTAGCAGGTACTAGACTTGTTTATGTGCTCCCTTTGACTCTTAGTCCTATCATTATGATCAATTGTGAACTGAAATTGATCACTTGGACTGGTGAGATATCATTGGTACATGCCACCTTGATGGGATTGAATTGGAGTCCCCTGGTATGTTTCTAACTCTACCATTTGAGGCAAGTCAGCTTGAGCATGTCCCAAATTGTACATCTCTTCCCTCTCTTATTCCTACTCTTATGTTTAACAGGGATCACATTTCAGTTAAATTTCAACACTTAAGAATAACTGTGTATTAATTACAGAATTAAACCAGTCATATTAAGTAGAACAGACAAAAAAAAAAAAAACTAATTCCTGGAGCAAGGACAGTCTATTCAATAAATGGTGCTGGGAAAACTGGATTTCCACATGCAGAAGCATGAAGCAAGACCCCTACCTTACACCTTACACAAAAATCCACTCAACATGGATTAAAGACCTAAATCTACGACCTGACACCATCAAGTTACTAGAGAACATTGGAGAAACCCTTCAAGATATTGGCACAGGCAAAGAATTTCTGGAAAAGACCCGGGAGGCACAGGCAGTCAAAGCCAAAATCAACTATTGGGATTGCATCAAATTGAGAAGTTTCTGTACTGCAAAAGAAACAGTCAGGAGAGTGAAGAGACAACCGACAGAATGGGAAAAAATATTTGCAAACTATGCAACAGATAAAGGGTTAATAACCAGAATCTACAAAGAGATCAAGAAACTCCACAAAAACAAAACCAACAACCCACTTAAGAGATGGGCCAAGGACCTCAATAGACATTTTTCCAAAGAGGAAATCCAAATGGCCAACAGGCACATGAAAAAATGTTCAAGGTCATTAGCAATCAGAGAAATGCAAATCAAAACCACAATGAGGTTCCACCTCACCCCGGTTAGAATGGCTCACATTCAGAAATCTACCAACAACAGATGCTGGCGAGGATGTGGGGAAAAAGGGACACTAACCCACTGCTGGTGGGAATGCAAACTGGTCAAGCCACTATGGAAGTCAGTCTGGAGATTCCTCAGAAACCTGAAGATAACCCTACCGTTCGACCCAGCCATCCCACTCCTTGGAATTTACCCAAAGGAATTTAAATTGGCAAACAAAAAAGCGGTCTGCAGCCTAATGTTTATTGCAGCACAATTCACAATAGCTAAGACCTGGAACCAACCTAAATGCCCATCAACGGTAGACTGGATAAAGAAATTATGGGATATGTACTCTTTAGAATACTATACTGCAGTAAGAAACAACGAAATCCAGTCATTTGCAACAAAATGGAGGAATCTGGAACACATCATGCTGAGTGAAATAAGCCAGTCCCAAAGGGACAAATACCATATGTTCTCCCTGATCGGTGACAACTGACTGAACACCAAAAAGGAAACTTGTTGAAGTGAAACGGACACTATGGGAAACGGTGACTTGATCAGCATAGCCCTGACTGTTAATGAACAACTTAATACATTATCCCTCTTAGTAGTTTTTTTGTCTGTTCTACTTAATATGACTGGTTTAATTCTGTAATTAATACACAGTTATTCTTAAGTGTTGAAATTTAACTGAAATGTGATCCCTGTTAAACATAAGAGTAGGAATAAGAGAGGGAAGAGATATATAATTTGGGACATGCTCAAGCTGACTTGCCCCAAATGGTAGAGTTAGAAACATACCAGGGGACTCCAATTTAATCCCATCAAGGTGGCATGTACCAATGCCATCTCACTAGTCCAAGTGATCAATTTCAGTTCGCAATTGATCATAATGAAAGGACTAAGAGTCAAAGGGAGCACATAAGCAAGTCTAGTACCTGCTAACACTAACCGATAGAATAAATAAAGGGGAGAGTGATCCAACATGGGAAGTGAGATACTCAGCAGACTCATAGAATGGCAGATGCCCTAAATAGCACTCTGGCCTCAGAATCAGCCCTAAAGGCATTCAGATCTGGCTGAAAAGCCCATGAGAGTATTTCAGGCATGGAAAGCCAAGACACTCTGGCAAAAGATCTCTGTGAGTGAGATCTCAGTGGAAAGAACAGGTCTTCAAAGAAGGAGGTACCTTTCTCTGAAGGGAGGAGAGAACCTCCACTTTGACTATGACCTTGTCTAAACAAGATAAGAGTCGGAGAACTCAGAGGGCTTCCATAGCCTTGGAAACTCATGACTGGAGCATAGGGAGATTA